TATTAATATTTATCGTATATATATTTTTTTGGGCCCCCATTAATACGGGGGTCATTCATGTCCGGCGTATTTTTTTTCATGGATTAAGTAATTCAAAAAATATTTAAAAATTCATGTAGCATCTTTAATTATTCTAAATAAAGGATTTATGCTTTATTTATAATTTACTGTATTTCTAATTTAATAAATCTATTTGTTTAAATATTTTATTTTTGCAAATATGTAAACACAAATGTGAGTACAAGTATGATAGTAATACGTTTAAAAATTTGTAACTTTTGATCAAATTAATAAAATCTAAAATTTAATTAAAAAGGGAAGTTCATATTTTAAGAAAAAAATATATGGCAACAAATTTTTTTAAATTTAAATGCTTAAGTTTGAGACATAAAATCTTATAATTTTGAAACTTATAAAAATAAGTGATTCTATGAAAAATTGACGTTTAAAAAACTTTAAAAATTTCATTTTTTTATTCAAAATCTGTAATTTCATACACTAAATAAAAAAATACGTATAGGATAATATTGTAAAAGAACGAAAAAATCATTCACTTACAATGTCATCTCTTCTGCAATGCAATTTGACATTTTTATTTTAAGATAACAATGAATAAAAATTTTTTTGTTATATATATGTGTTTTACTTATAATAATATTATAGTCAAAAAACGCGAAAAAAAATTTTTTTTTTGTACGACAAATGCGTTGAGTGTATACGGGGATCATCTGTGTCGCTCGATTTTAAATATGTATCTGCTCAGCGAGAAAGTAATGTCCACTGCTCGGCTTTCACGGGTATCTTTTTACACCCCACGAGTTGTTTTAGGAGCAGAACGGCGTGCCTGTACTTACTTGTTTTCAAAATATTTAGAAATATAAAAATCGCTTGGACACAAATGACACGGTGAAGGGTTAAAATAGAAATATCAAAAAGTCAGTTTAACTGTTTACGAGTTATTTTGTATTTTATTATGTGACTTACTGATATTTAATATTAAATCTCGTAAATATTAATGCTCTTCTATAGAATGTAAATATTAACATATTATTTGAATTTTCTTAACAGTAAATCGTATCACTTCTTATTCGATTCATCTTATTCGATTCTCATGGTTTAGAAGATATAGAAGGTAAAAGCATTAGATTAAACATCTTATATAATGTATTGTATGTACTATATATAAATGTTATAAATGTATTATATAAAATATAACATATAAGCACGTATTCTATCATGTGTACAAATAAAATTTGAACTGCCTATTTTTTGTTTCACGTTTTCCGCCATAATAGTCGTTGGGCCCAATATATGTATAATCGCTAGTCGAATATTTAGTATTGACTTTTCGCTGTGGATTTATACTTATAAGAAATAGCATTAAACGTTGCTACTTCCGATTGGTTTATATTCTAACGAGAAATATGTTTTTTGTTAAACATTGCTTCACAAGAGGCTTTCCTGCTTTCAGATATTCTCTGCAGTCTATGATAGCTTAGCTTGTTTGCTTGAGCGATATAATTATCACTATGAAAGAGTTTTACAATGAAGTAATTCCATCTATGAGCAATGAGAGGCTACATATAAATAGATAAAAATATATCTCATATTACAAGATAAAATAGATTATATGCTTGTTACGTCATTGTGCTTTACATTTTAATATAAACACTGTACTTAAACATTAAAACAAAAACCTGATTTTAATTTAATATTTTAATGATGTATTTTCAAATTTAGTTAATGATAAATTAAAAAATAATTTTCTGTGCGTATACAAACGATATATAAAACAAAAACATATATAGAAGATTACAGAATGCAAAATTGTTTAAATAGTTCCAGATGTCACTTAATTAGAAAAAGAGTTTCAATCGCGTTATGAGTGCTATGTTCTAATAAAAGTCTTACATATATTATAGAATGCATCTCATGAAAAGAATCTCTTATCATCTATTGCTTACTTTCCTATACCTAGTTTTTGTATGTTTTTAAATTATGCGTAATAAAGAATAAGTATATCTCATATAATTTTGCAAAGTGACGCTGCGTGAAATACATTGAAATATTCAATTTTGGAAACAAAGCCAGAATAAATAAAGTTCAACGTATATAAACGATGATTGAATCACTGTAAGGCAAAATATGGACGAAGTTGAAAATGTTTTGAGAAAAAGAGATGATTCAGAATAAAACGACTTCATACTCTATCCTAATTTAACCCAATTTCTGCTCCTTTCGACCTTTTCCATCTGCACTCATAAGGATAAGATAGATCAGTACAAATTTTTTAAAAAAGGTAAAAAAAAAGATGCTAAAAAAATGTTTCTTGAATAACCTAAAGCCTATTCTACAATGTGCTCTTTATTTCCTGTTTCTTATTTTTTATCTTTTGCTTTTAACTCTTTTGCAATCGTTTTATCGACAATTGTATTTCTCTTGTTTCTTTCAAAGTTCGTTATCTTATCTTATCTCAGCCGATATAAAACAAAAAACCGAATAAGAAGCAAAAAGACAAGATGTAAAAAATAACAAAAAACAAGAAACTGGAAACAAAAAGCACATTGTAGAACAGGTAAGTATCCAATAGTTAATAGTAGTTTTAATTTTTCTTTAAGGATATTCTTATTAAAGGTCTTTTTATTCCAATCTAAGTAATAGCAACTTTAATTCTCTGTCAAAAATTATTACTTCTCAAAAAAAAAACTAATGTATCAAATGAAAAATTAAAACCCAGATGCTACAAACTCTTAACTAATCAAGTTAAATTCTATCAAATTAAAAAGTAAAACGTAAGTGGTACTATCTTTTGTTATTTACATTTCACTCTAATGATATGTATAATTCGTATAAAAGACTACTATTAATTGAGTTGGATACTTAGGTTTTATTCGAGAAACACGTTTTCTTAAAGCCTTTTTT